ATAACCCAAATTTCAGATGGCTTTGATACCTGGAATTAGTGTAATTCTTTTAGAAATCTAGTGGCATGCCAAATCTTAAAAAGAAAGATAGAAATCCATTTAAAACTCACATTTTTCATCGAAAAGATTTTAAAGATATCAGTCAACAAAATAGAGGGCAAAGATTAGAAATCTTTGAATCAGACAGAGAAATAGAACTTAGTTTCTCCTGAAATAAGGTATTTAATACAGCTGTAAAGAGTAAGAATGAATCAACACTGTTTTTGCACTTATGTTAATGTGACATCTATATGCAAGCTAAAAAGAAAAAAATTCTTAATGATAAATGAAACAAAGCTCTGGGTGTGTGTATGTCTGTGTGTCTGTATGTCTGTGTATGAAGGACACACATACATATATATCTGATCCCAGAAAAGGACTAAAACATACAAGAATAAAGGCAAAATATAAAAGAATGATGTGTTTTCACTGTAGACCTTGAGATAAATATTTGACAAATTGACATCAAAAAGAAGGGTAGAATTTAATGCTTTTTTAATGTCCAGCTATAACTTCAACTCTCAAAATACTGGAGACAGAAAGTAAGGCAAAATAAATATTGAAAACAATTAGTGTTTTGTCTTATTCTGTGGAAATAAACTTTGATCCTCATTCTAATCAATGGATAATGTGTTGTCATAAGCTTTGTTGGACTAAACCAATATTCCAAATTTTGGGCTAATCCAATATTCTAATAGACTCAGTACATTTACGAAAAAAATGTATGTACTTGATGCAACCACATGTACACAATAAAATGATCTAGAACATGCATTAATGCAGGTAGATAACTGAGTGCTATAGGGTAATCAATTCCTGGGAACCTAAAATCTAAATTAAAAGTGATTTTGGAAATGATAGAGGTTGTTGGTAAATATAAAGGCATTCAGCATACACAGCTGTAAGGGAATACACAGGAGCATGTAAAAGCTAACAATATCACATAAACATACAAGAGGGGGTAAAGAATAGGTCTTTTCATGGTGCAATTAACAAATGCTGGATGCTTAATTTTGGAGGACACTGGACCCAACTAGGTTTGTGGATTCTCAAGCCAGTGAGCCTGGGTTTGATTTTCAGGACCATCAATTGTCTGAGTCACCACTGACAAGTTAGTTAAGCCCTTTTTGCTGTATAATCATCTGTAAAATCAGGCTAGTTATGAGAAAAAAAATCAGTAATTAAAAAAATTGTTACCTTTGCTTAATTTTTTATGTGCACCTGTATGTGTGCATGTGTGTGTGTGTGTCTGTGTCTGTGTGTGTGTCTGTGTGTGTGTGCATGCACGGGTATGCCACGTGCACAAGTGGAGGTCAGAAGACAGCTATTGAGAGTTGGTTCTCTCCTTCTACCATGTGGGTCCTGGGAATCAGACAGGTTATTAGGCTTGGCAGCAAGTACCTTTACCAGTGGAACCATCCGGCCAGTTGAGGTAGTTTTCAAGGTAATGTATATAAATAGGTGATGGGCCCATAATTTCTATATAAGAGGTGTTACAATAATGCTGGATAAGGAGAAGTCATAAAGCTAAGAAGTCACTATGAAATGTTATAATTAAAGATCTCAACACAGCTTGGATATTTAAAAAGTAGCAGAATAAGTTTACCATAGCATTCCCTGAATTTCCCACAGTTATGAGGGGTGTGTGTGTGTGTGTGTGTGTGTGTGTGTGTGTGTGTGTGTGTCTCTGTGTGTGTGTGTGTGTGTGTGTGTTGCCTGAGACATAATACCTTTAGCATACTGGGCAAGCACTGTATTGGTGAACTACACCCCGAGTCCCTGAAGGTGCTATTTTCTATAATGGGGCTCTTTGAGAAGTTTAGTGCCAGCAAGATGAATCAGTCGGAAAATGGGATAATATAGTATTACTGAGGCTTGAGGGAAGAGTGGACCTTTGATCAGAAATACCCTAACCAAGATCCTGATGATGATATAAGCTCAGGATCTTCCTAGGGGCCAAACAAGAGAAAACAAGCAAGCCCATTGTGAACGCTTTTGGCTAGATATCTGGAAACACTCCTGTACTACAAGAATTCCCAAGTATTAGAATGGATAGCCAAGATGGGCTCTAGAGTCCGCTCCTTTGGAGGTCTTCCAAGAAGGAGAGTCTATCTGATCTGCCTGCGTGGGTTTAAAATCAAGGCTGAGTGAAGACTGATGGTGCAAACTGCCCTTCCGCAAGCACTTTCTGAGAGCAGAACTTTATATATTACCTATCACAGTCCCCCTCTGATGGTTTGAAGAGCTCCTCTCTACCCTAGAATAGAAAAGGGCAACAGTATTTTACAATTGTGAGCTCAGAATAAAACTTTAATAATGCTAGGATGAAATATAATGTCCTTATTACTTCTCAGTTATTTCACTAAGCAAGCTACCTGCAAATACCATTCAACCGGAAACTGTTCTCATGAACCTGAAGTCCTTTTGAAATTCAGGTTGTCTGATAGACTAGCAGCACATGCCATTTCTCAAGCAAACCACTGGATGTCTAAACAAGTCAAAGGATGAAAAGCAGTTTAAAGAAAGGATAGCCACCACACAAACTCTTACCTATACTAGATATTGCCAAGAGCTGGAGAGGAGAGGAAGAGTGTGTTTATTTAAAAACAAGACATGTTTCCTAAGTGATCATTCCAACAGCAACAGTAAATTCAATTTACTTTAGCATTAAGTAAAGTTTACTTGAAAAAATAGATGTATATGTCCCTCCCCCAAAACCCCACAATTATCTTTCAATTCATTATTTTCCTATCAACTGTGCCTTTGACCCTGTGGGGACCCAGTCCTTGATTGTATCCACCAGTTTTACAGAGCACTGAGCTAAAGGCAAAGTCCTCAGCATGCACTCGCTCCTGGGAAGGAGGGAATTTAGCAAAATACAGTCATCTTAGATATTCAGAGCTAATAATGTAACTGTAGTTTTGAAAGGAGTGGGAAAGAGGCAAAAATATACAGCAACAGCCAAAAGGCTCTACAAAGTTACCACTAAAGAATGTATATAGCCACTGAGAATGTTCTCTAACAAAATAAATGGTGACTACAGACATTACTTACAATGGACATCTGCACTCTTACAAGGCGCTTGAACAGTGCTGAGGGTAATCTCTAGTCTCCTGAGAGACTCATTACCACTAAAAGAATAAACTAAAGAATGCTGAAGCAATTTAAAAATACTTAACTGTTTTCTTCTTGGAAATATCTTATCTGGAATCATGTTGGGGAATATCTTTGTGCTTTAAAGATATGATTCGAAAAGGAAATGATTAGAGGAGGAAAATGTTCCTAGAAATAAGCTCTACTACAAGCCTTTTAAAAGTTGAATTTCCTGAGATTTGGAGAGTTTAAAAAGCGAAGCTGATCCTTATCAATTAATTAAAAAGAATAAAACAACAGTAGACAAAGGGAAAGGGGGGTTAAGAAACTTAAGGAGCCGCAGGGACAGTCCGTTTCTATTCACTGATTAACAAATTAAAGAGTTCTGGAAAGGGGGGCGCGAAGTCAGAGGGACAGAAAAGTGAGTCATAATTCACCACAGGTCCGCCTGCCTTCTTAACAGGGAACGCCTGGCTGTGAATTGAAAATGCCTCCCTCTACATAATGCGCTGCGTTGTGTGATACATGCGTTTTGTTTTGTTTTGTTTCTTCTGGGCAATGTCCAAATTGGTATAAATGTGTTAATTTCAATATAAGCAAAGACTCACTCCAGGAGTTTGGAGGTCGACCATCAGCAATTCCACCCCGTATTTAAACTGTGATGTTTTTAAAATATTTGCAAATGCTTTCCATCAGTCTACCAGTTCTTTGGCAAAACCCAGGGAGGCTGGTGGCGATCCAGGGACCTGAGGTCACTTAGGACTTCAGCTACCGGGTTTGAGCAGCCCGCGCCCTCACGGCATCTACAGGCATCCCTCCGGCTTCTCTGAGCTCTGTTCTCTCACAGCCAAAGGATTATCCGTCCCCGACACGTTTCATTCACAGAGCCACAGTGAAGCCTTGATTCGGTTGGAGCTAAGAGCCGGAAAACATACACCCAGGCTGCGGCACAAGTTGTTGGAGACCAAAGCGCAGCACACACTGGCGCCGAGAAAGAGGGTGGGGGCACCGGAGGAAGGAATGCTAGTGACCAGGCGTGGGGGGACCCGCGATCCGCAGACCTGGGAGACGAACGCCCTCCCCGGGCCACCCGCGGAAGTTGCTAGAGCCCGCAGGAGCTCGAGGCCAAGCTCCGGATCCGGCCCCGCGCGGGGTGGCTGGAGTGTCTCCGCCACCCCAGTGACCAACCGCAGCTGGGGAAGCCCTGGGGCAGCCTAACGAGAAAGCACGCCCCAAATCTGAAACGGGTAGTCCACGAAGTGCCCACAAGCCAGCCCTGGGACGCCGCCGTCCGAGGGATGGGGACTCTGGCAGTGTGTCCCCTTAATGGCCAGAAGGCTGGAGCTCCGGGTCGGGGAAGGACCAGGAGAGCGGAGAGCCGGGCTCGGGGAGCCTCTGCGTCTCTCCACCGCCCCCGCCGGCGCGAAGGCGGGAGCGGAGAAGGCGCCACTCAGATGGTGGCGCTGAGCAAACTGCAGTCGCAGTTCTCCCAAGTTTGCACGGGCGAGCGGCGCGCGATGGGCGCCGGGCTCAGCGATCTGCCCTCGCCCGGATGTCGCCCCGAGACCGTTCCGAACTCTAGCGGTCTCCACTGGCTAGAAGTCAACCACCGAGGTAGCAGGGCGCGGGAGCAGATGGAGAGAGCGAGGGAGGGGGCGAGGGTGCTCCCGCGTGTGCACACAATGAGACGGCCGGCACGCACACCTTCCCCTAGCCGGGAGAAGCGGGACCAACATCCCCAGCCGCGTTGCAGAGACGCGGAGTCCCGGGTAGTTACCCGCAGAAAGTGAGCACCAACTCAGCAACAGGGGGAAGGGAAGGGCGCCGCGCCTCCGCGCAGGACTGCAGCCCTCCGGGCCCGCGCTTACCTGCGATCTCCTGGTAAGGGATGTCCACCAGGCTGAATCCCTTGGCACCGTAAGCCTGGCGGACCTCACCACAGCTCCGAGCCTTCACATCCGCCGCGGCCCGCAGGGACAGCAGCAGCCACGAGAGGGGAAGAATCACAGCCCGGATCCAAGAAGGCATGGTGCAACATGCAAGTCCAGCTCGGTAGACCCCAGATCCCCGTGCGCTCTTCACCTTGCCCCTCCAGCCGAAAGCCCGCCACAGCCTGCGGCGCGCTCCTTGCCTCTGCCCAGCGTCACCCCCTTCCGCCAACCTAGGGGACGAGCAGCACAGCCCTCTGGACTGCGCTCAGCAAACTTTTATAAGCCAGATGGAGGATGGCAAGCCAACCAGGGCTGGCTTGGGAAAAGCAACAGCCTAGGCTCCGCAAGCCGCTCGGGTGCGATAAAGCTGAGAAAAAAGAAGGCAAAAAAAATGTCTTTTGTAAAAAATAAAAAATAAATAAATACCACCGTTGTGGGGGTTCGGAGCTGCGGTCCGAGTTCCGAGCCGCAGAGTCTGGAGCGCTGGGAGCTCGCCTAGTCTGAGTGTGCGACGAAGGTGGGACCGCGCGGCTCCCCCGGGAGGGAGATGGACTGGCTGGCGCGAGTGTGTGCGCGCTTTTGTGGGTGTGAGCGCGGGGTTCTTGGGGAGGTGTGTGCGTGGAGGTATGTGTTGGGAATGTGCGGGATCCAGGGGGAAACCTCAGCTTCACACAGACTGAGGGAGCCTGTGAGAGTCCCCCTGAAATAGGAAGAGAGAAAATCCTGGAGACTGACACTGGAGGCAAGAGGGAAGGAGAAAGGAGGGGAGAGAGAGAAACGTGCTACACATTGCACAGCCGAAATTCAGAGGCAGAGTCTGCAGCAAAACCTGGACTGGATCGCGAGCCATTCGGTAGGACAGAAAAGATTCAAAAAGGAAACGTCCCTGTTTTCTCATTCACTTCGCAACCTTCATTCGAATTCGAAATGCTACCTTTAATGACGCAAATAAGCCATCTAGAAAGACAAAATGTTTGAGGTGATTAACTGATGTGATTAAGCTATATTTTTCTGGAGATAAAGAACGTTGTATTGCCAATTGTTGCTCTTGCCCCAGTGTAACACAAAGCCAGGGTAGAAATAAACCTAGAAAAGAAACCCGATAGCAGAGCTTAGCCACCGCTCTAAGTGGCTGTCTGATTGCTGCTTGTCTAACACAGAGGCCAATAGGTTTTTTTAAAGTTTTTGTTCGGAACTCAACACACACTCACTTTGATCCACCTACTAAACAGTCTTGGTTTCAAAATCACTACGCTTAGTTTGTAGTGTGTTGGAGGGAAAAGAAAGTGAGGAAGACTGGCCAGAGGAAAGCAATGGAAAGAGAAACACGAGGATCCTGGGAAGGGGCGGACATCTCACTGTCCGCTCAGCGATTCATTCAACACGCTTACCTTAACATTGCCTTCCACTTTTCAGAGTTCTGAAGTGGAGCATCAAGTCACTTTCTCCCTGTTAGTGAAGTTCTGTGAAATGGGATGAAAGTAAAGGTTCAGTTTGACTAATTTCCATGGGCTTTTCTTACGCTAATGACAGAGCAGATCTCCTGGGTAGAAGTAGGCTTTGAAACCCAGAGCCCCTGAAACTACCCAAAAGAAAAGACTAGAAAAGAAAGAGAAAATGCTGTTAGATCACATGGCCATTTGGACTTTATATCAGCACCTTATTGAGAAATCTCTGTAGGGTGATGCCTAGTTTTGTGGCTTTCAACTCTAAAGCCATGTGAAGACGCTTTCTTGGTGGTGCTGTTAGTTGAGCAGAGAGACTCCTGGGGTTTTAAATCATTTGTCCTTACTGTCCTGGGCATCTCCTTCATCACCATCCTCATTCAGTCCTTCTGCCCTCTAATCAACTTCTTTAACCCATTAGAAAGAGTCCCAAGTGGAAGCTCCAGGCTTGTTTACACTTGAAATGCATTAAAAACAAGGTTACTACTTACAGCATGACTTTTTCTTCTATAAACTTCATAGCTTTAAAAAAAAAATCTTCACAGCAAAACATTTTCTGAAAACATATTTTTTCTTTTTAATTTAAGCACATTTTGTTAAGTATGCTAACTGCAGATTCAGACCATACTTAAATAGTAACTTGTTATCCCTAAAATCTGAAATCAAGATAACAAAATATATTCTAGTATCTTTGTCCACCAAGGATGAAAGCTGGTAGGAGTAGGAGTTGAAGGGATTGCTATTGTGATATTTGATAAAACACCTAATGTGATAGTTACCTTGAATTGTCAACTTGAGTTAGCCTAGAATCACATGGGGAGAGAGTTTCAGTGAAGGATTGTCTACACTGGATTGGCTTATAGGCACTGTGGATTGTCTTGATTGCTACTTGACATAGGAAGACCCAGCCCATTGTGAGCAGTGCTATTCCCTAGGCTGGGGCCATTGAACTGTATAAGAATGAGGAAAGCTAACTAAAAAAGCAAGTAAGCAGGCACCATGGGGGTATTTGTTTCACTTTGCTCTTGACTGTGTATATGGATATGACTAGCTGCTTGAGTTCCAGGGGCCTTGACTTCTCAGAAATGGTGGCTATAACCTGACATTTCAAGCCAAAGCAACTCCTTCTTCCTCATGTTGCTTTTGGTCAGGGTATTTCATCACAGCAACAGAAACTAAACTAACAGCTAACTTGCTTCAAACTTCTGCTTCTGTCTTAGTTGATAGGCATTTCACACTCCATTGCACATCCTACATGTCTCTCGCTGGAATTCCTTGCAATTTTCTATGATGTAGCTGTATATAGTAGATAATTTTATTGAAAAGACATTTGAAGAGATGGAGGATGGCTGTTAGTAGAGCACTTGCTTTGCAAGCATGAAGACTTGAGTTTGATCCCTAGAACTAATATTAAAATGTCCTGAGTACTTGTCCTGAGAAGTTAGATCCCTGACAAGCAGACAGACAGGGAAGCTCTGGGTAAATTAATGTGTTTTTCCCTTAAACCTTTAAGATGGCCAACCTCCTGCTTCTTCCTCACCAGGACAAAGGCTTGCTGGACTTTTTCCCACTGGAGAGAATTGTTGGGTAGGACTCTCAAATCTCATAGAGATATAGGGCGGGGGGGGGACTCTTATGGTAGAAACCAATCATTTTCTTTTTCTTTGTCTGTTAGTAAATCCACTACAACAGCCCAAGCAAGTCATTTCTGAAGGAAAAAGCAAACTCATTCATTCTTCCCACAAACATTGTCCCTGCCAGACAAACACAGATACCATCTTGGGTGCCTGGGGAACTGCCTTGGTTGAAGGAGGCTCTCTCGCTCTCTCTCTCTTGGCTCTCTCTCTCTCTCTGTGTGTGTGTGTGTGTGTGTGTGTGTGTTTCTGCTTTCAGTAAAAGTTGGTTGAGTGCTAAGATCTTGCTTTCCTGCCATCTTACTCTTTAAATAGGTGGAGAAAAATAATCTGTTCCTGCAATGCTAGATGACCTCATCAAGATGCCATCATTTGTACCCAGCACTGAAGATGGAGAAAGAGGACCCCTTGGGTCTCACTAGCCAGCCAGCCAGTCTAGTGCAATTAAGGAGTTTCAAGACAGTGAGAAACCCTATCTCAAAGAAGGAAGACAGTATTCAGAAGATAGACCCAAAGGGTGAATTCCAGACTCCACCCACACATGTACACGGGCACACATCCATAAAAAGGTACTTGAGATGGAAGAAGAAAATGTGAAGATACGGGATTTATGGTTTAAAATTATTTAAGGATTGCCTAATCCTTAAGTATTTAATGAGCAATCTATATATCTATATAGCACTAGACTGCTGCAGTCCTTGTACTCATAAAATGGCCTTAGGATTGGTAGGAAGGCTGACACATGAAAAGTTACTAACTTAATCAAGCACAAATAGATGAGTTTAATCCCACTGGGGAGCTCAAACAGTATAAGGCTGGTTTGTGAACTTTAGTCAGACCAAAGAATTAGCTAAATTGCTTAGTCCATTTATTGGCTAATACAGCACTGTTTGAGGTGGTATTAAAAGACAAACTTATAATTCTAGCTGAGGGAAATACTTACATGAGGTATTAGAATGAATATGGTATATGACAGAAGTTCATGGAAGACTCCTGGCTAGAAAGAAGAGAGCTTCTCTGTTTTAGGTAGACAGGTTGGTCTAAGCACTTGGACCCCAGCTATCATGCTTTATATGGTACATGGTAGGGGGAAAAAAATCATGCGGGAAGAAGGGGACAAATACAGAAGAAGAAAGAGGAAACTCAGTAGGAGGCACTCACAGCACTCTGCCTCCACAGTAAAGGTTTTAGGCAGTTGAGATTTAAAACAGAAGAGTGGAAAATGGAGAGAATTTGAGGTTTTGAAAAATGGATTTGTTGTGATATGGTGCTTGGTTTGGTACGCAAGAGCAATCACTGAAATACTAAGACTGTGCATCATTGGGAGCACATGATATGTGTCTTGGACCTCTGTTTCCACTGCACTTTTACACACCAGAAGGTGTTCTTGACCCTGTGGTCATAAGACGAATGGAACTTTAGGGACTTTGAGTTTTAGAGAAAGTATCTTAGTCACAAACTGCCAAAGATGAGAGGCAAATGGCACAGCTGTTGTCAATCACCTACTCCATACCATTGCCTACTCTTTGACACCCTGAGTCTATTTGGGGGAATGTGTGCTCACCCAAACAGATGAGTCTTAAGTTGCATAAATCATTGTTGGCCATGCTTTCCCTTTTCCACTACATAAAGTAGAGTTGGGGTAGAAGAACCATTTCTGATCAAGAGATTTTTGAGAAATTGTCTTTCCCTGATTGAAAGTGCAGAAGGGAGACTGAGGAGATGGCTCAGCAGTTTACAGCATTTGCTGCTCCTCCAAAGGACCAAAGTTCAGTTCCCAGAACTGATATCCAGTCCCACACAACCACCTGTAACACAATGCCCTCTTCTGGCTTCCAAGGGAACACACACACACAGAGTAGACAAACAGACCCACATACATACACATGAATAAGAACAAATATTTTAAAACAAGAGGCAGAAGGATCATTTGCCTCAGTCTCTTGACTTCTTAGAGCTAGATGATTGTCTTATGAATAGCCAACAAGACATTGCTAACAGAAAGACAGTGACAGAACAAAAGATTATAAATAATCTAAGTTCCTGGTTTTCCATTTGAGTCACCAAACCAGCCCTGTACTTCTCATTACATGATAAATAAATAACCTGTAATTAATGCCACTGCCATTTTGGTTTTTTGCTTTTGTAAATGAAAACAATATGAGCATAGACACTGATCTAAAGACCAAACAAGAGGGATTGAAGGCAACAAATTGGAAGTAGCATCATGGAATCCAAGTCAGAAGAGTGTCACACTTGAAACAAGTGCAGTGAATATTAAAGACAATGGTACTTGGCTGATGATAAAGAAGCTTACTGGAAACTGTGGGAGGATTTTAGTAGCATCATTAGGTATATATAGGCCACACAGAATTACACAAGAGATGGGCAGAAAGGAGATGGAAACATCAACACAAATGTTTGAGTGTGCTACCTATATAGAAAGGGGTAAGTCAGCAGACAAGCATGTGTTGAACCTGAAGCTTCTGGATTACAGAGAAGGCTGAAATCAGACATCGAATGGACTGAAAAGCAATCTCATACCCCTTGATAGGGTCACTTAAAATTTTTCTTCTTTACTGCATGTTTTTTATGTTTTCTACAGGAAATGTGATCTTTTTAATGATAAGAAACAATACATTGTATTGTAATGAATGCTATACTTTTAACATGAGCATAAATACATTCACCATATTTTCCAAAGCAAAGAAGTCTTACCATTATCTCATACATGTAAAAAACAAAAAATAAACAAATAAAAACAGCTGCTAACATTTTCTAAATAAAAAAACAGCTTTGGCCTATGAAATTTTTTTGTAATTTTTAAGAAGACTTAAAGGAAAAAAGAAAGAATTACAGACTTTACAATTCTTTTGCTCAGGCGTGCTACCTCCTGAGTGAGAAACTGGATGAATTTTAGTTTTTCCTTTGTGTGTTTTAGATCAAAGTAGGACAAATAAGTT